ACCATAAATTATTGTTAACTATAAAAAAACCAAAATGGATTAAAGTTTTAAATTTAAGACCTGAACATGTAAAATTACTAAGAGAAAACACAGCAGAAAAGTTCTATGACATTGGTTTGAGCTATGATTTGGGGTATAAATAAAAGATTTTGGGCATAGGGTACAGAATTTCAATTAGGAGGAGTAAATTCAAGAGTTATGCTGCCTAGGTGTGCACCTGTAATCCCAGCACTCAGGAGGCTGAAGCAGGAAGCCAGCCTTGGCTATGTAGTAAGTTCAAGGCCAGTCTGAACTACAGAGTGAGATACTGTCTCAAAAAACAAAAACAAAACAAACCAGCAACAAAAAAGTTATACTGCCTAAACTGGTGCATACAGTTAATAACAAAGTATTATATCCTTGAAAAGTACTTAGAGTAGATTTTTAAGTGTTCTCACTATACACACCAAAAAATGGTAAGCAGATGAGGTAACATATATATTCATTTAACTCAGTTATTCCAGAATGCATATATATATATTACAAAACAAAATGTACACCATATATAGATGCAATTTGAATTTATTAATTAAAAGTAAGTTTAAGGTAGAAAAACATGTTAAAAAAGAAATTTTGGGGCTGGAGATGTAGCTCAGTGGTTCTGCCACTTGCCTTGCAACCACAAGGACACGAGTTCAATTCCCGGTACAAAGAAAGAAAGAAAGAGAGAGAGAGAGAGAGAGAGAGAGAGAGAGAGTAAAGTCTGAACTCTAAATGGAATTATGGGGCTAGAATAACAACTTGGTTTTGTGTTTTGTTTTGCTTTGCTTTGATGAGTGTCGCTGCTTGTAAACTGAGTGTGTGTTCAGTAGAAAGTCGTCAAATCTTTAGGCTGAGTATCCTCCCTAACTTATTGTGGTAATTGATTGGCAGTGAAAGATAAAATGCTCTTCTTAAACTATTGGGACAGGTTACCTAGTAACCACAGAAGGATTAATTTCCATTCACAGAGGCTGGTTCTTTTAATTGGATGAGAAGGTTTAAAGAATACAGCAGGGGGGAAATAGTGAAATGGAGGACTTGGGGCAATTATCAGAGGACCTAATATCTGCAAACTTGTCAAATCGTTAGCCAAAGGTTACAGTAACTCTTTTGGTTACAAAGAAGCCAGCAAAGCCACTACAGACTCACAATTGTGTCCTGTTTATACATGTAGGAAAAAAAATATAGGATTAAGCATATAAAAAAGTACACTGCCAACTATGTGGTTTTAGAGTTCTGAGAGTGATTTTTTTTTTTTTTTTTTTTTTTTTTTTGGTATCAGGGATTGAACTCAGGACCTTGGACCTCGTGCTTGTCAGGCAGGTGCAGGACCACTGACTGAGCTACATCCCTAGCCCTGAGAGTGATCATTTTCAATGAATAAGATTATATTCGTCTTCAGATATCAGAATGCTAGTCCTTAAAAGAACCCACAATGATCATGTGGGGTTAGTATATTCTATTATCATTCTGTTTATTCTATGCATACTTCTATTAGGCACGTATAGTCATATCTGCTTTCGCCTGCCTTTAACAATGAAATTAAGAAAAATCAAATTATAGGTTGACAATAATGAAGATTGGTTTTTATCCATTAAAGACTTCTAGACAATAGAGTAATTTTTTCCTGTGCTTGAAAAAGAACTCAGTACACATATCATTAACTATAATTGGAAGAGGTCTGCTTTGGAATCATTTTTTAAAACATTTGTCTCTGCACCTTACAAATCCTTGACTAAGATTTGGGAGTTAATAGCCTCACCACGGCTGCTTTTCTCATAGGGATTCAGTTTAAAATTCTACTAAAGCCCCCTCTAGTGACAAGCAGCAGATTAATCTATTACTTCATAACACAATTCCAACAAGCTCTAAACTTCCATTTTCTCACTTATTAGATAAATCGACAGCTACAATATTTTAGTTGGGGAATGACTAAGACATAGTCAACAGCTCAACTTCTCAACCATTCTTCAGTCACCAGCACCTTAAAGTTTTATTTTGAAACTGGGGTGAATGCAAAAGCACATACACACTATTGAAATCTATTAATTTTACTCTGCCCTAGTATGAATACATCAAAAAAATTGTAAGTTTCCTTCATTTTTGCCCTTCAAGGACATCAAGATTAAAATATGCTCACAATAACCCAGTTAATACAAAAACATAATCTTGAGTTTTTGCTTCTCGTTGCTATCGTGGCATTTGTTGAGCAATTTTCATTGATGGTGCTAGGCATGTCCAAAGAAACAAACATGAATTCCAGGAATCTTTTGAATTAAGAAAATAAGAGTCATCTGTAAAACTGGGGTTAAATGCATAATAAGAGAGTATTTAACATATTTCAAAAATATAATAAACCATATATGGTTTCTATTAGGCTATATGTTATGATATGTATAGCATATAGTTAATTTATATACCCATTCCCAGACTCATTGAACTGTTAAAAATAACAGGGCTGGGGGTTTAGCTCAGTGGTGCTGCCACCTGCCTCGCAAGCGTAAAGACCCGAGTTTGCTCCCCAGTACCAAAATAAATATATTCATTCATTCATTAAAAGAATAACAGCCATATTCCCAGTAAAGTAAATTAAAGATATAAATTAAAGTAGGCTATAAACAATATCATAACAGAGCACAAATCTTAGTTCTGAGCTTTTTAGTTAGCTAAGACAAAAAGAGAAACCCAATAATGGCTTTACACAGACCAAGTCATTAGGGAAAGCAATGCTTTCTTTCTAAAATACTGATTTCCAATTAGCAACAAAAATACAACATTGGAATAATTTCTGAACCTGAAATCAGGATTATATATATTCAGTGAGAGAAGTCTGTAGAAGGGTTTCTTTCTGAGACCATCCCAACTGGCATGAGTTCCCATTGGAAGGGCATTCTCAGGAATCTTCTCTGCAGCTGTATGCATTTCCAAGATCATTAGCTCACTGTCCTTGGAAGAGCAAGCAGAAAGGATTTTCTTTCTTATTTATGTACAGAGTAAAAGCAAAGAACAAATTAAATTTCATTTATGATATGTTCACTGCTAAAATTAGAGAGAGATCCTACTGTTCATACATAATTTAAAGAATAAAATACTACTGTATTTAAAATAGAAATAATGAAGGCAGGGGATTTTGCCCAGTGGTTCCACTGCCTGCTTCGCAAGCACATGGTCCTGAGTTTGATTCCCAGTAACTAAAAAATAATAAAATAAAAATAATGAAATTAAAAATCTCCCCATTTTGCTGTCTTCTCCCAATCATAGAGCCCCTTTCCTACTTGAAAGCAAAATCTGTTTTCAATCCCAAAACCTACTTTCATAAAAGAAGTTGGCATCATCTTTGTGTGAATTAAGTGACTGTGTTGCCTTTTCCCAAGGGTGTTTGCCCTTTAAACTTTAGCTCTAATTCAATTTAACCAGTGCTTGGTGGAGGCCTATTATATGCAAGGTATTTTTTAAGCCACTAATAGTGGACTGAAAGGTTTTGTGATCTTAGAAAGGGATTCAAGCAATAATGAGTAGGAAGGAAAGATTTTTTTGTTTTAGGGATAACATCTGACTCCCTGCCTCTGTCTCCTTTGTAGTTGGGGTCACAAGCCATCCAACACACTTCCACATTTCTCACTTTGAATCTAACTTGCCTTTTACTCTGTCTTAGAGAACCATGCATTGAGGTGTTGCTGTAAATGGATTTCTGATTTATTTCTCCTTCCTTGTTGCAGGGTTCCTGACTTTGTCTCTTAACCCGGAATCCCCCGGTATTCAGCTCTTTTTGCGTCTTAGATGACACGAAGCTAACATTCACGGAATAGCTCCTTTTATCTGCCACTGTACCTATCAATAGTTGTAACAGGTTAGTAGCAGCACTGACATTTAGAAAAGAAGGGTCCAAGCTTCACGGAGATTTAGAATCTAATTCAAAATCAAACTGGTACGTACCAGGAAACTCACAATTAAATTCAGTAAATCTGGCTGCAAAGCCAGTATTCTTTCCAGCAGTGGTTCTCAACTGGGTTGTGATTTTGCCTCTCTCCCCCAAGGCACCTTGGCACCATCTAGAGACATTTTTGACTGTCAGGATTCGAGGTGGAGTGAGTGGGTTTCTACTGACTTCGTGAGCAGAGGCCAGGGATGGTGCCAAACATTCTACAGTGCACAAGGATGGTCCGCCCGTCCCCACAACAATTAAAAACCCAGCCTAAAATGTCCAGAGTCCGCTCTTGAGTCTGCTCTATTCTGATCTTATTTCCAAGAATTCACAGGTAACTGCTTCAAAATTCAACAAATTGCAGAAAATTGCGGATAAATCATCGCCCTTATTCACTTTGCAGCTGTCCTCCACAGCTGATAAAGACAAGAGGCTAGAGGCGGAAATTCAAACTAATGATTGAAGTTAAGAATTAAAATGTAATTATGAAGGCTTTTTTCACCCCCAGGATTTTCACTAATCCAAAAGTTCATGGACTGCTTTGAATCCTAATTATTGGAACTGGTCAAATGTTACCCTGACCTTGTTAGGGAATTGATCACGTTAAAGTATGCTGTGACGCCGCCTCACAGGCTGCATTCTCCTGGTACATCTTGGCTCCTAAAATGACCTCATGCCCTTATCTCTGGTTTCCCTCCCCCGCAAGGCCACAGTGGTCCAGGAAAGTTGAAACCTGTGTCTGCAGGACTGGGCCCATAAAAGCAATCTGGCCTGTGATAGGTTAAAAGTAGCTCACTCCTCATAAATAAGCAATAGCCCACCCCAAAACTGATAAAAGGACCTTTCTTTCTTTGTTCTTTTCTCTCCTTCTGCTTCTTCTTCCTCCTCTCTCTCTCTCTCTCTCTCTCTCTCTCTCTCTCTCTCTCTCTCTCTCTCTCTCTCTCTCTCTCTCTCTCTCTCTCTCTCTCTCTCTCTCTCTCTCTCTCTCTCTCTCTCTCTCTCTCTCTCTCTCTCTCTCTCTCTCTCTCTCTCTCTCTCTCTCTCTCTCTCTCTCTCTCTCTCTCTCTCTCTCTCTCTCTTCCCGTAGGGACAAAGCCTGCCCGGTGTTGGTGACGGCTCCTGACACTTCGCTCTTTCCCCGCCCTCCCTCCGAGTGCCAGATCTCGGTTCCAGCTCGGGAGCCCCGGGGAACCAAACTGCGGGAGCTACGACTTGCGCCGTGACGTCACAATCCCGGCGCCGTGGCAACGACCCTTAGCAACCGACCTGGCGACTGTTTCCCGGCAGCTGCGGCTCTCGGCCAGCTACGCCATTCCATTCCAACCCACCACCTGGCCTGGGCCGGGCCGGGCCGGCGGAAGGGCCGAAGGGGACCCGGTGTGTCCCCAAGGCGGCAGCGAGAAGACTGAGCATGGATGGCACCCGGAGAGGTAAAAAGCAGCCTTGCGTCGGGGCTGAGCGGGTGGAGGCCGCGCCCTGGGCGCTCCGGGTCCCCTGCTTTTTCGCCGGTCTTGCTCCAGAAACAGGCCTTGCTCGTCCCGCTCCTAGATGCGCTTCCTGGCCCTGACTTTGTCGCCTTAGCTCGGGATCGTGCAGCCTTTATTGCTTCGGTAGTTTCAAGGCAGCGGAATCTTTGGAGTCCCACACCCCTAAACCCCAGAATCAAATCTCGTTGCTTTCCAGGGTAGTGACCCACGATGTCCGTATCTCTTGAATGTAGGGTTCAAGTACCTGTGCCCTAGAGTTTCTGAGGATTAAATACAGATGATACGCAGGGAACTGGCTGGCACATTCTAAGTAATCAGTACACACTAAATCTCCCTTTCCATCACCAGCTCGTTCGCCTTCCCTCAAAACTGACCAGCCCAGAGCTGCTCGCTTTAATGTGAATAAGAATCATAGTAAAATTATGATTATGCATAATTATGATTATGCAGATTATGATTCGGGAAGTCTAATGGGGGCAGGGTTGAGACTGCATTTCCAATAAGCTTCTAGGTGATGCAGTTTAACTACTCAGCAGACTGCAGGACTGCAGTTTTACTAACAAAGGGCTAATCCATAATCCCAGTATACACCTGCGTTTGACTGAATAATCCTGATAGAGTGGTTGGCCATATACCCAGAAGTCCTTACAAATTGCCCCAATCCAATTTGCTTTTTTACACCTTCTAAACAAATAGTGTTCTTTCTTCAGACCAAGGAAGGCAATCTCCACACACCCTCCCCTTCCCAGTTCAGTGTTTTTAATCTATTTTAATCAAGCTGCTAGCTGATTCTTTGAATTAAGTCTCGCTTTGAATATGAGTGTTCCTTTATTATGTAATCAAAGTAAGTGTCATGCTGGATTGTAGGAGATAACTATCCATTTGATCAGCAAACTGGATAATATGACACTCCCAACCTAAGTTCTAGAGAATGCAAGCCAAAATGCTTTCATGGCCTTCAGAAATCTTACAGTAAACTAAACATTCAGTCTTTGCTGTATCTGGGTGCCTGTAATCCCAGCACTCCTGGAGACTGAGACAGGAGAATTGTCACAAGTTCAAGGCGAACCTGGGACACATAGTTCAAGGCCATCTTGGGGTACATAGTGAGACCCTCTCTCATAGATATATATCATATATATCATATATATCCTTGCTGTGTGCCAGCGAACTATTCCCAAATTATCTCATCTAATAAAAAATCTTCAAGAAGTATTATCCTTACTTTGTAGTGAATGAAAGAAAACAAGAGATTATAAGAATATATATTAAAATAATAGACCTAGTAAATTCTCAGAACTTGTTGAATACTTTAGGCTATGTAAAAAAAAGTTTATCTTTTTATCACTTACCCAATTTAATTAGCTTCATTTTAGGGTATGTATTTTATAATGTAATACTAAACAGTTACTAATTTTAAATTTTTAAAATAAATTTTCAATAAATAACCAGGATAGTTTTCATATACCATAAATTATTATTTACAAGTAACCATTACTTTAACCAAAGCTTAAATGCTTAATTTTAATTGAAAATTTCTGAGATTTCATTAGATTACTTTTTTATTTCAAATCATATGAACACTGAAAGTTATATTTCATTTATTTTCTTACTGTGATATTATAGACATTCTTTTATAGAATAAACTTTCTTTATCTTTTCTTTTCTTTTTCTTTTTCTTTTTCTTTTTCTGTTTCTTTTTTTTTTTCTTTTGTGCCAGGGATCAAACTCAGGACCTTGTGCTTACAAGGCAGGCAGCAGAACCACTGAGCTAAATCCCCAGCCCTATAGGGTAAACTTTCTGAATCATGGTGTAGTAGAAGGAGCACCAGCCTGAATAATAATAGATTTTGTTTTTAGTTGTTTGTTTGCTATTAACTAGGTAGATAAACTCTTACCAGTCATTTTCTCCATCTATGCCTTACTTACTTACTTGTAAAATGGGGGTTAGGAGGGGTGGACTAGTTCATCTGTAAGAGGTTCTTTCTAACATCTTTGGGGGAAGAGGGAGAAGAAAAGATTAAGAATACCAAACTACGATACACTCTAGCACCATATCTTTCATGTCAGTACCACTCAAATATTGATGACCTTTGAGAAGGAAAGGAAAGATAACCTTTTAGAACAAATAACTGAAGTAGCTTGAAATTTTTTTTTTTTTAATTTGTTGGTCCCATGATTTATCAATGACAGTCAGATTCCCAAACTTCAGGAATTTCTAGGAAACCCTGCTCCAACTAAACATCATCTTTTCTCAGTGGTATCCGTTTCAACTTGTATAGGACACCAAACTGCTGTCACACACTGAGGAATTTGTTAATCTCATGGACAGGTTTTCAGTCCTAATCTAGAGGGTGGTATTCTTTATCCTGGCATTGGGTTTGGATCTACTTTTCTGTGCCCTTTTGGATCATTGTGGGTCAAATCAAGATACAGAAACCCTACCATGATTTAAGCAAGGAAAATTTAAGGAAAGGTCATAAAAGAGTAACTGTAAAATATAAGAAAACTCTGTATGGTATCGTAGAACTAAAAAAGGATACTTAAGGAAAGATAGATTTGGAACGGGGCTTCCTCCCAAAGACTGGCGTTCAAACCTCATTGGAGAAGGTATAGCTGTGCATGTGCCCAAAGTTTTGATTGAGAGGAACCCATCAGAGGTTTCACTCTGGGAAATAGACCATTGAATTGTTTAAACAAGTCACTAAATGAACAATGAAAACAACCCTAGGAGGTGATTGTCTACAAATTGCTACAATATGTTACCTAAAATGTTCTCTTTTCAGCAAAAAAATCATGAGTCACATAAAGAAACAAAGTATGGGGCCAGGATTTAGCTCAGTGGTGTGAATTTCTAGTCACAAAATGCTTAGAATAGTGTCTGGCACAGTTAGTATTCAATAAAATTAGCATTTTGACTCCAGTTGTTGTGAGCTAAAATGGGAATTTTTTTGGCTCATATAAAGGAGTCTTAAGGAGTGTAAAGTTTCAAACACGATCAACTCCAGGTGCCAGTGTGATCAGGAATATCTTGGTTCCACTTTCATCTGTGCAGGCTTTGTTCTTAGACAAGGTCCCCTGCAGGATCCAAGATGGCCATCAGCAGGGCCACTCTTGCTTATGTTCTATCCTGGACATAGTTTTCCTTAGAGGAAATGTGAGGTGCTTTCTAGATAAAGAGGCGCTGAGTTGTGAGCAAGCAAAGAGTCAAGCACTATTTTTCTGTATTTGATTTTCTTAAAAGTTTATTTGTTGGATATATGTATGTTTTAATATGTAGCAGACCCTCCTCTTCTGGTAGAAACTATGCTAGTTTCATGATTTTTAATCTATAGCTAGAGAATTTTTGCTGTCTAACAGACTGTTGCTGGCTAGTAATATGACTAAAAACTCTTTAAATGACTGACTGTATTTAAAGATCTTTATTCTTTTAAAAATATTCAGTACTGTTGTTTATGAAAGCTGTGTTTCATGTGTCCTAATTCGTATTTTTTTCTTTAAAGTCAGAGCAACCCCTGTCCTTCCCAGATGTGGTCCACCATGCCTATTTAAAGGACACTTGAGCACCAAAAGTAATGGTAAGTACTTAAAAGGCTAACTTTGCTAAAAGACCGTTTCCTGTATTTGCAAATCATGTGACATGATGAAACAATTATTTCATTGAGTGGATACTTGGACATCACATTATTAATTATAACCCAGTATTATAGGAATTTTTAGAGATTTCAAACTGTTGATGTGCCCTGATGGTGGGCTCAGCTGCCCCCTGCTTCGTGCCACCTCTGCAGCCCAGCTCTGCCTTTTCCAGCAGACTGTTCTGGTCTGAGACAGGCTGCCTTGTTAGAACGGTGGTTACCAGGTGTAAGAGACACAAGCACTAAAGGCAGAGCTGTGCAGGGAGAACAGATGCATTTTATATGTCTAGCCAATGTTTGCAGGCCTCTTTTTCCAACTGGATTTCTAAGCTCTGTTATGTTTTTATATTTTAAAACTTTCAAAGTAAATTTTTATTCAATATTTTCTTTAAAATAAAAATGTATAGGGCTGGGGATTTAGCTCAGTGGTTTGGTGGCCTGCCTTGCAAGCGCAAGGACCCTAGTTCAGTCCCCGGTACCAAAAAATAAATAAATAAATAAAAATGTATAATTATATCTTGAAATTGTAAGATTGGAATTTTAGGCAAAATAATTGAAATTTATTTTCTTTATGTGAAATATTTTTTATTTTATTTTATTTTGGTGGGGGAGTTGAGACAGGGTCTCACTATGTAGTGGGACTGACCTGGAATTCACTATGTAGTCCAGGCTGGTCTCAAACTCACAGCAATCCTCCTGCCTCGGCCTCCGGAGTGCTGGGATTACAGGCATGCGCCACCATGCCCAGCTTACATGAAACATTTTTTATGTTGTTACTTTCTCTGTTTTTTTGGTACCAGGGATTGAACTCAGCTCTTTGTGCTTGCAAGGCAGACGGCAGTACCACTGAGCTAAATTCCTGGACCTTGTTACTTTCAAATATGAAGGATCACTGTTTTTTTCTGTTACCTTACTTCTTTGCATTAGAGTATGTAGAGAGATCACGCACCAAAATCATAAACTTTGAAAAATAAGTTTTAAATAAAAGTTCAAATGTAGAATTAAAGTAAGATACATAGGAAAACATGATGAAGAACAATACATCAAATTTGCTAACTTTTTCTTTTTTAAGAAAGTAAGTGCAGAGCCAGGACAGCTATAGCGGTTGTAAATATGAGGCTGCCTTGGTTTACTTCCAAACACTCTACCAGTAATGTGGCTCAAGGTCTAATTCATAGCTCTGTGCCTCAGTTTCCACTTCTGTTAAATGATGGTAATGATGATTAGGTAAGTTTTTACTTGTAAAGAGTTGGAACAATGCATGGCAAATGGTGACTATGGAAGAAATATTTTTAGTAGTAGTGAGGCTCCTAATTATTTATGTGCTTGATTATGCATAGAATTTCCCTAGAAGAATTGATGTTTAAAAAGTAGCAGAGTATGTATCTGGGAGATGAAACTAAGGTTCATGTTAGAAAAGTCACTTGTTTTTCAATTTTTGCATGCTATTTTAGCTGTTAGGGGTTTGTTTGTTTTTTTTTAAGCTATGTATGAATTACCTCTCAAAAGCTGTTTTTTCTATTTTGATTTTTTTTAATTATTTTATTTCATCAGTACATGTTTGCAATTTGTGCAGTTTACAGTCATCTTGGGGAGTGAGTACATGTACATCTTACAGCTTGCTTTTTTTTTTTAATCCCCTTCCCTTTCCCTACCCCTTCCCTTTTCCTACCCAGTTCCCCTAACCCCTTTTGGATACTTGCTGATATTATTTGTCTTAGCTCATGTTGTGGTATATAATATTTACATTAATTGGGGTTATTAAGTTCCTGAACATGGAATGTCTTTATTCCTCTCTCAAAAGCTGTTTTTAATGTGTACAAAAGTTATAACTAGCTGGGCATGGTGGCGCACACCTGTAATCCCAGCACTTGGGAGGCTGAAAAAGGTGGATCACTGTGAGTTTGAGACCAGCCTGGGCTACATAGTGAGTTCCAGGTCAGTCTCAACTGCATAGACCCTGTCTCAAAAAATAAAAATTAAATAAATAAATAAGTTATAACTATATTTCACTATACACTTGAATATAAATGTTTAAGGATTTCAGTATTTCCTTTAAATAGTTTGGATGTAGGTCAAAAATTTAATGCCATTGCCATGGAATTTTCGCATGATTATACTTGTCTTAAGATAGGCCTAGTACTTCCAAAAGACTGCAGTAAACAGATGTGTAGATCTTGTTTTCAGATATAAAATTAGAAGTTTACCTCTCAGAGTAGAAACTTTGCATAAGATTTTGTGATTTGGGATGTTTGATTTCTGAAACTTCAGGGATTGTTAAGTATGTAGTAACATGGTAACATTTTATAATCAAGCAAGTAGCTAAAGATTTTTAGATACAGATTAAAAGATATAAAAAAGAAATAATTTTTTAAATATAGTAATAGATTATGTTGTAGAATCTCTTTCTCAGATCTTCAGAACTGCAAAACAAATAGCTTATTCATGTTTGTGCCATAAGATTAATGCTAAGACATACTCAGCATCACAAGGATTGAATTTCAGAACATTGTTTAAGAATGAGTTTAATAATCAGTAATTTGTTTATCTCCTGGTGATTCTGTTAATTTAAATATATAATGTTTGAATATGTTTTGATTTTTAGCCTTTTGCACTGACTCTTCTCTCAGACTAACCACTCTCCAGCTGATCAAGAATCACATGGCTGTTCACTATAATAAAATCCTTTCAGCCAAAGGTAAAAATGCAAACGTGAATTTTCTGTACCCACTTCAAACCCCTCATGTTACCTCTCATTAGGATAAATCTGTGGCAAAAATTAGAGCATTAGAGGAATGTGTGGTTGGTATAGTGAAATACCAGTTATTGTGTATATTTGTGGCAAAATCAGAATGTCATCTTCGTTGTTTGTATTTGAAATCTTTATAATGCCTGGGTTATTTCATTTTATCTGTTACTTCTGATACTATTTTGTTGTTAGATATTGCTTTTAATGTAAGTTTGTAATCTACATTTTGTCTTCAAATCTACCAAGGAAGTTGCACAAAGAAGATGGTATTTATTTTTTTCTTGCATTTTTTAGCTTTATTAAGAGATAATTTAAAAATAATAAAATGCACTAATTATAACATTAAACATTTTGAAAATAGTTAAATATTTTGAAACATGTATACATAATTGCTACTCCAATCATGCTATAAAACAGGGACTGTTTAACTGCAACTTACAGACCATATCCTTCTGTTACTTGTTTTTATACAGCTCATGAACTAACAATAGTGTTTATATTTTTAAATGGTTACCAGAGAACAATATTTTGTGACATCTGATAATAACATGAAATTCTAATTTTAATTAAAAACACAATCATGTTCAGTCTTTTATATATTGTCTACGATGGCTTTTGCACTAAATGGCAGAGTTGACTAGTTGTGACAGACTCCGTCACCCTGCAGAACCTGAAGCATTTCTCCTCTGGCTCTTTACAGAAAAGGTTTACTGATCCATAAAATGGAGTATTTCCATTACCCCAAAAAGCTCCTCCTAATCCGTTACGGTCATGTCCCTTCTCTCAGGTCTCTGTAGCCAGGGTTCTACTCTTTCACCACAGTTGTGCCTTTTCTGGAATTTCATGTAAATCATATCATTTGTATCCTTTTGGGCCTGGTTTCTTTCAATTAGCGTAACACATTTGAGGCAGTCCATCTTGTGGTTTTTATTAGTAGTGTTTCTTCCTGTCTATTGCTAAGTGTAGTGTTCCATTTAATGAATCTACCACAGTTGATACTTTGATTCACCAGTTGGTGAACATATGAATTGCTTTGACTCACTTTTGGCCATTAGGAATAAAGCTGCTAAACAGTCTCATGTAATGTTTGGATATATGTTTCTATTTCACTTGGGTAAATATATTTGCTAGGAGTAAGCTGTGAGGTAATATAAGTATGTTTAACTTGTTAAGAAATTACCAAATTATCTTTCAGAGTGATTATACAGTTTTGCTTTTCCATTACTTTTAAATCCTCACCAATAATTTGGTGTCATCCTTTTTTAGCCATTCTAATGGATATGTAGTAGTATCTCTTCATCATTTTAATTTGCAAAATTTCCCTGATGCCTGGTCATATGGAACAACTTTTCTTATACTTGTTTGCCATACATATATCTTCTTAGGTAAAAAGCCTACTCAGACCTTTGCCGATTTTGGAGGAGGGGTTATTGGGGATCCAACTCAGGCCCTTGTGCTTGCGAGGCAGGTGGCAGAACCACTGAGCTAAATCCCCGGCCCTGCCTATTTTTTTTAAAATGTAACTTTGTCTTTTTAGTATTAAGCTGTGAGTTCTTTTTTTTTTTTCATTGAGTTTATTGGTACATTTTAAGTATACAGTACAGTTGCATTCATCATTGGGATCTTGTACCTTTACATGACAGAGCTTGGTTCTCATTTTTTCCCCTTACCCCTGCCCTTCCTTCATCCCCTCTAGCCTTCCCTATTTACAAAGATTTTGTTTGCATTTTTTCCTTTTGTGAGTTCTTTATCTATTAAATGCAGGTCTTACATGAGGTACATGTTTTGCAAATATTTTTTTCCCAGTTGATAGTGGGTCTTTTAGTTTCTTTCCTATCACTCCAGTTCTGGTAATCAAACCCAAGGCCTCATGAATGCTAGGCAAGCACTGTACAACTGAACTCCACACTCAGCTTTCATTTTATTTTTATTACTGTTATTTTTATAATTACAATTTATAGTTCTGGAATCATTTTTAGAGTTATAGGAACATTAAAAAATAGTATAGTTACCATATATTTACTTTCTTCTAATGTTAAAATCTTAAAAACCGTACTACAATTATCAAACCAGAAAATGTATATTGGTAAAATATTGTTAACTGCAAACCTTATTTGAATTTCACCAGTTTCTACTAATTGTTAACTTTCTCAAGTGTTGAAGTTTTAAAATTTTAGTTCAGATCCTATGATGTTTGTATTTTTAAATGGTTGAAAAAATCAAAAGTTAAGTAATATTTTGTGGCATTAAAATTGTGTGATGTCAAGTTCAGTTTTCAGGGGTTTTTTTGCTTTTTTTTTTTTTTTTGTACGAGGGATCGAACTGAGGTCCTTGCGCTTGCCAAGGCAGGCGGCGGAACCACTGAGCTAAATCTTTGGCCCAGTTTTCAGGTTTTTTTATAGCATTTTTATCCTTTTTAAGAAGTCTTTACCTACTCAGATGTGGCACATTCCTGTACTCTCAGCTATTGAGGAGGCTAAGGCAGGAGAATCAGAAGTTCTGTCCCAGCTTGGGCAACTTAGTAAGATCCTGTGTTAAAATGAAAAATAAAAGGACTTGTAATGTAGCTAGTGAGAGAGCACTTGCATAGCGTGTGAGCCCCTAGCTTCAATCTCCAGTATCACAAAAAATGGGGAGAAGGGGGCTATTTCCCTAATCTTAGGTCACTGCAGTTTTCTAAATCAGTTTTCTTCTAGTTGTATACATTTAGCTCTTACATTTAGATGTGTGGTCCATTTTGAGCTAGTTTTTGTATTTGCTATGATACAAAGGTCATTTTTTAACCTATTCATGTCCACATTTTCCAGTACCATTGTTAGAGAGATTATTATTCACCTGTGGAATTACTTTGGTTTTTTTGTTTTTTTCAGTCATTTGACCTTATGTGTGGGTTTATTTTTTAACTTAATCTTTGAATCTGTTCATCTATCTCTGTGTCCATCTTTATACCCATACCACATTCCTCTATTACCATAACATCACAGTAAGCCTTGATGCCACACAGTGTTAAGTTCTCCGTTGTTGTTTGATTTAGACTCCAGCCACAAGTGTAGTAAGGTGCATAAGGTAGGGAGGTATGTTACTAGGTCAGTGATGCTTTGTTCATTTCCATTTTTCCCTCCGTTTCATTTTCAATGATATTGGAATATTGGTTCACTAATATTTTCTTTTGTAGTATAATGAGCTAATCCCAGTGTGTGTGTGTGTGTGTGTGTGTGTGTGTTTAATCAAAGATATTTTGTTTTTCATTGCAGAAATACAATAAAAATCAAATAAGGAACTGCACATTCTGGAACTTTTTGTGATTTCCGCTTTGATATTTGTTGTCTTTTGTAAATACCAAAAATGTTATTAAACAATGAAATTTTATCTTTCAGCTGCTGTCGATTGCTCAGTTCCTGTAAGCATGAGTGCCAGCATCAAATGTAAGTTACTTTTTGACATCTACTTTTTAAAAAATGATTATGGTAAAATACACAGCACATAAAATTTAGCATCCTAGCCATTCTTGAGTGTTAATTCCAGTGACGTTTTTATTTTGGTAGAGTCGCCATCATCATTTACCTCCAGAACATCTTCATCTTTTACCAGATAAACAGTAACTCCCCCAGCCAGGCTCCAGAACCCACCATTCTGTTTTCTGCCTCTGTGAATTTGACTCCTCTCCGCAGTCTGCTTTCTATCTCCATTAATTTTATTATTCTGAGTTTCTCAAATAAGTAGAATCATTCAGCATTTGTTCTTTTGTGCCTGGCTTATTTCACTTGGCATAATGTTCTCAAGATGTATTCATGTCGTCATATGTCTGGCTCTCCTTTCATTAAAGCTGAATAAAATGTCACTGCATGCATATGCCACACTTTGTTTACACATTCGTCAGTTGATGGATACCTGAGTTGCTCCCACCTTTTGGCTGTTGTGAATAACACTGCTAGGGATACAGGTATGCGGATATGTCTTTGAGACCCTGCGTATCACCCCAAAAGGGCTCACCGTGTTGAAGGCTTGGTTGCTGATGACTTTGGGGAAATGGCTAGATAATGAGGGCTCTAGCTTTATTCACAGGTTGTGCCACTGATGAGAGAACAAAATTGGATGGCAATATTCGGAGGTGATGGAAACAGGTGGTGAAAGGAGTGAATCATAGGATTGTGACCTTAAGGACTGCATCTGCTCCCTGGTCCATTTCTCTGGGGTTTGCCTGTCCCTCTGCTTCCTGGCTACTGTGAGGTGAACAGCTGTCTTCCACCATGCCCTTCTACTGCGATGTTTCTGGCTCAACACAGACCTAAAAGCAGTAGAGCCAGCAGACCATAGACTGAAATCTCTGAATCCATAAACAAGAATAAGTCCTGCATAAAGTTCATTCCTGTGAGCTATTTTGTTGCAGTGATGGAAAGCTGACTTAGCACACTCTGCTTTCAAATATGTTGCGTATATGTCTAGAAGTTGAATTATTGGATCACATGCTAATTTTATTTTTAGTTTTTGAGGAACTGTTTTCTGTACCAGTTGTAACATTGTACATTCCACTAGTGGCACTGTTCTAATTTCTCTACATCCTCCCCAACACTTGTATTGCTTTTTTCTGTTTTGATATCTCCCATCTTAGAGGGTTTTAACTTAATTGTCTTTTGAGAAAGCCTTTCTAATGTTTAAAAATTACTTATAAATAACAGAATCTTGTTTTGTATTTCTAAGATTGGGAACTTAGAACTGAATCCATAATTTGCCACTAAATTGCTGTGTGGCTTTGGATAAACTGTTTAGTGTCTTTTGAATTTTGTTTTTCCTATATGTAAAAACTTAGATAGTACTAAAGCTGGACATGACTGCACATGACTGTGATCCCAGCACTCTGGAAACCTGAGGGAGGAAGATTACAAGTTTGGGCTGTCCTAGGCTACACAGAAACCAAATATGAAAACAAAATATCCTCTTCAAAGGTTAAGTTGCACAAAAGGTTATTGCATATAGTTCCTTCAGTGGAGCTTTCAAGGTCTAGACTCAGACCCATGTTCACATATTAGCCCTCTGGCTGTTTAATAGTGGATAAAGGAAATGTGTTGCTTGTTGTCTTTATGTGTTCCTTAATATGATGAGATATGTCTTCTCTATTAAATGTAAAACAACAAAATTTAAACCTAAGATCCAAATTCGCCAATTAAGAAATCAGTCATTTTATGTAGTATCTTTTTTAGTTCACTAGAGTTTATTCTTTGACTAATTCAGAAAATACTTTTTGTGTCCCTACTGTGTGCAATACACTACTGTACAGACTGGAGCTAAAGAGGTGAACAAAACAAACTTCTTGCTTTTAAAGCTTACATTGTAGTTAGAGGAGACAAATAGTCACCAAATACGGATCAGTAGAATATGTCAGATAGTGATAAATGCACAGGGGAAATGTAGCAGGATAAAGGCAGCGGGAGTCCCATGAAGAGAAAAGACCTTACGGTAAAGTGACAATTGAGCTGAGACCACAAAGAATTGACAGGCACATGGCTACTTAGGGAGACAGCGATCTAGACAGCAAGTGTTACAGCCTTGAAATGGCACCATGATTAGTGAATTCATAAAACAGTAAGAGGAGCTTTACAGCTGGTGTGAAATAAGCCAGCCAGAACTGTATAGCTGGTATGAAATAAGCCATCGAGAGGGGCCTGAAAGAACACAGATCATATAGTACTGGCCATTACAAGGACTTTGGCCTTTGTGCTGAGTGAAGCCAGAAATCATTTGAGAATCTTGACTATAGGATTTGAAGAGTCCATTTTTTTAACTTTTATAAGTATCTCTAGTTACTGAGTTGAAAATAGTCTGTAAAACGCCAGTGTAGAAACAGAAGTCTGGAGTTCAGGAGAAAAGTCCAGGACAGAGATGAAAATTTGGGAGTTGACGATGGCATAAAGATGCTATTTAAAGATTTCTTTCCATTTTTGATTTTAAAATTTAGATTTAGTGTTTACCCATGATACTTTCTGCTCTATCAGTTGAGGCATGAGTTATGTTTTCCTTTTTTGCTAGAAAAAAAAAATGATGGCTAGAACTAGAATTGCAAAGATTTTATCTTCAAATAAAGTATAATTAATAATCATTGACCAGGTGTGGTGGTACACACATGTAATCCCAGCACTTGGGAGGCAGAGGCAGGAGAATCACTGCAAGTTTGAGGCCAGCCTGGGATACTGTTGTAGTCAGAAGGATTTCGCAAGGGAATACATTAAAGACAGAACACAATATATAAGATTATTTTATGATAATTACCCAAAAAGTCAAATCCAAAGGAGTGCAAGAGACATTAACCACACACTAGAGGCCCAAAGGATTTAGCTGAGAGCCTGGATTCCAGCAATTTTCACACAAGTCCAGCTAAAGGCATAGAATCCAAGGCAATGTCTTCTGTGAGTCCCGCCAGTGGCCTAGAGTTCACAACGTCTCATGCTTGCCCATATTGAGGATCTGCACCTGGAAGGCCCAAAGGCCAGTGGTGGAAGCCAGAAAACCTATGCCAGTGAAAAGAAGGATTTGTGCCAAGCTGAGGGATCCACATTGGAGCCAGAAAGTGATGCTTGTGGTGAAGATAAACAGCAGCCATTCCCGGTGACAGCAAGGCCCCAAGCTCCTCCTCTGATGAGAACAGTCTAATTTGCATTAGGAAAACCATCCGCAGCAAGCTTCTCCTAGAAAATCAGCAGGCCACAACCTTTTCCTCCAGTTCTCTCTTTATGGCTATTGGCAACTATCCTCAGGTGAACACTGATTCAGTTCAGCTGGGTGTTACAAGTTGACCATTAGTCAATCCACTACAGATACCTAGTGAGTTTAAAGGTACCTTGAACTACATAGTGAGACCCTATCTCAAACACCAAAATAATAATAATAATAATAATAATAATAATAATAATAATAAATCATTATAACTCCTTATACTACAGAGCTGATGTTCATTATATCAATTTGAATAACTTAGAAGTGGATTTTATAATATATGAAAAAGGATATAAATCTTTATATTTAACCCATCTTTGGTTTTGTCATTACTATTTAGTTGGTTGGTTTTGTTTATTTACAGAACTAGGGATTGAACCAAGACCTTGTGTATGTTAGTAAGCATGTTAGTAAGCACTGTACCACTGGGCTTCACCCCAATTTTTTTTTTCCATTTTATTTTGGGACAGGGTCTCACTAAATTGCCCAGACTTGACTTGAGCTTTTGATCCTCCTGCCTCAGCTTCCCAGTAGCCACACCCAGACCCCATCTGTGTTTTCCCTACACTTTTGTCACAGTAGACTGATGAGTTCATCGTTTCAATCTTCATAGTATCAAAACAGATATAAAGTAGATTAAATAGTTCTATATTCCAATGTGTTAGGCTTTTTTTTATTATTACAGCATGTCTTTTAAATCTTTTTATTTTCCTTTTAGACATTTAATTAAACATCCATTTTTAATTGACATAAAAATTGTATGTATTTGCAGGCTGCCTTAGAGGCTTTGCTCTTTATAGCAGTCTTATTGAAAAATAATTACATTACTGAGAGTGGAAATGTTGGGTCATACAGTAATACAGCAGCTGCCTTTTTACTTGCTGCTTTGCTTTTTGCTGTTTCACTTTCTGATGTTTCAGTTACCTATGGTCAGTTGAAGTCTGAAAATATTAAATTAAAAATTCCAGAAATAAATAATTCATAATTTTTTTAATTACACTATTCTTAGTAATGTGATGAAATCTTTTTATTACAGTATATTGTTACAGTTGTTCTATTTTTATTGCTGTTGTTCATCTTTTACACTGCCTGGTTAAATTTCACCATACATATGTATACATAGAAAAAACAGAATACTTAGAACTCAGCACTACCCACAGCTCCAGTCATTCACAGAGGGTCTTGGAATGAATCCCGCTGAGATCAGAGGGACTGTTACAATACAACTTCTTAAGAAGCTGTCAGACTATTTTCTTGAATTTTTTGGTTTGGTTTGGTTTGGTTATTGTTGGTTTTGAAACAAGGACTCACTATGTTGCCCAGGCTGGCCTTGAATTCCTATGCTCAGGTGATCTTCCTGCCTCTGCCTCCCAAGTACCTTGAACTACAGGCATGTGTCACCACACCTGACTGTAATCTCATTTTAAAGTCATATAATATTTAATATTTAAATAGCACATGACACTGTTGATAATATATTTCATTTGGGAGAGAAGTAGACTAATCAAACTATACATTCAGTGGTTACATAGTCACAAACAGTGTGGTTAATTAAGCATTTCAAATATATATCTATAAATATCTGCTAAAAATTGCTTTCTTATGTCCTTGGTCTTGCTCAGTATGTCCCATCATGTTTGTGCTCTTTAGTCAATCTATTTAGAATTCCTGTGAAGTACCAGGCTGGGGATTTAGCTCAGTGGTTCTGCTGCCAGCCTCACAAGCGCAAGGTCCTGAGTTCGATCCCTGGTACAAAAAAAAAGAAAAAAGAATTCCTATAAAGTATCTGCATAGAAAAATATATATAGATTTTATTTACATATCATAGCATAAAGATTTTGAAAAAAGAATATATAAATGCCCAGTGACTGGAATCTTAAAAAAAAAAAAAAAAAAAAAGATTTTTAGTAAGAAAAATTATCCATTCCATTAGTCTAACAAAACCAAAAAAAGTTACTTCTTCTGTTTTATTGCATATTTTTAAAAGTCTGTTTTCCCCTTTAGATACAGACCAACAACGGAGAGAAAAGCTCAAAAAGGAATTAGCACGATGTGAAAAAGAGTTTAAATTAAGTAAAACTTCAATTCAGTCCAATTCTAAAAATAATTTCAAGTCAATTTTTAACGCTCTCCAAAAGGTAAGACTGTACTTTTACTGTTTTGGCTTTTGGGGGTTTTTGTTTTTGCTCTTGAGATAGGGTCTCTCTCTGTAATTCAGGCTAGTCTTTTTTTTTTTTTTTTTTTTTTTTTTTTTTTTTTTTTTTTTTTTTTTTTTTTTTTTTTTGGCGTTTTGTTTTGTTTTGTTTTGTTTGTTTTTTAGACAGGGTCTCACCATGTAGTTGAGACTGACCTGGAACTCACTATGTAACCCAGGCTGATCTCGAACTCACAGCAATCCTCCTGCCTGGGCCTCCCAAGTGCTGTGATTACAGGCGTGTGCTACCACACCCGGCAATTCAGGCTAGTCTTGAACTCACTATCTAGCCCAGGCTGACCTCTAACTCATGGCAGTACTCCTGCCTCAGCCTCCAGAGTCCTGGGATTACAGGAGTGCACCACCATGCCCAGCAGTTTTATTGTTCTAAAAACAAGTATTTCTATAGTATTTCATTTTTGGTGCAACCTTATTTTTTGGTAAGCTTTTGCTATAGGTATATGAATGTTTACTACCATCAAAAGCCATGTGGGGGCTGGGGATTTAGCTCAGTGGTTCTGCCACCTGCCTCCCAAGCACAAGGTCCAGAGTTAATTCCCCAGTACCAAAAAAAAAAAAAAAAGCC